GGATTCAACATATGAATTTTGGAAGGATATAAAACATTCAGACCATAGCACCCAATGTTTCAAAAACAGTGGTTTCATATATTTTGTTAATTTTCCTTGTTGTTTATGGTAGAAGAACAATCTAGTCTCTTATTCCATCACAATATAAAGTGAAAAAATGCCCAATTCCACCCTGGCTGGTGTGGTTCAATGGTTGAAGCGTCAACCCACGCACCCAAGTGTCGCAGGTTCAATTCCCAGTCAAGGGCACATATCTGGGCTGCAGGTTCCAACCCTGACCTGGGTCAAGGTGCATGCAGGAGGCAACTAATTGATGTCTCTCTCTCACATTAATGTCTCTGTCGCTGTCTCTGTCGCTGTCTCTTTCTCTTTCTCCCTCTCTCTCTCTCTCTCTCTCTCTCTCTCTCTCTCTCTCTCTCTCTCCCTCCCTCCCTCCCCCCCCCCCCCCCCCCCCCCCCCACCTTCCATTCTCTCTAGAAATAATGAAAAAAATATCCTCACTGCTTGGGTGAGGAAAAAAAAAGCCCAATCCTGTTTGTTTGGAACCAGATGTCCACTGGACCTTATATTCACTGTTTTTAGATTTATATTTAAATCTCCCCCGCACTGCACTAATTCTATATTTCTGTGAAACCTATTTCTGCATGTTCACTCTCCCATGCAATCATTAGATATAATTAACTTTCCCCAAAGTTGCCCTAACATTTGATGAAGATGGTATTAAATATACAAATTAATTGAAGGAAATGGATGTCCTCAACACTGACTCTCCCATCTCTCTTATAACAGTATAAAGTATAGCTGCTTATTAAAGTCTTCTTTCATGTACTTCAGTATCAATAATTTTCCTCAAATAAACCCCATATATTTTTTATACTTGTTCCTCAATATTTTATATTTTTGGTTAATTTTGTGTTTTTTTTTTAAATATATTTTATTGATTTCTTACAGAGAGGAGAGAGGGATAGAGAGCTAGAAACGTCGATGAGAGAGAAACATCGACCAGCTGCCTCCTGCAGACCCCCCACCGGGGATGTGCCCGCAACCAATGTACATGCCCTTGACTGGAATCGAACCTGGGACCTCTCAGTCCACAGACAGACGCTCTACCACTGAGCCAAACCCGTTTCGGCTATTTTTGGTTAATTTTCTGAAAGGGATCATATTGTCCATGATCTTTTATAACTAATTATAGTCCTTACAAAAGTAAGCTAAATATTTTTGTGTTAATTTTGTATCTGCCAACTTTTATTAGCTCTAATGGGTTTCCATGGTTTCCCTCTGGTTTTCCCAGGTAGCCATTCATATTCCCTACAAATAATAATTTGGTCTTCTTTATAATATTTATATCTTTTTTGCCTGCTTGCAGGAAAATATTAAATAATAGTAATGATACTACCTACACTTATCTTCTTTCCAATTTTAAAGAAAATAATTTAGTTCTTCACCATTAAACAGGATTCTGGCTGTTGATTTGTAACAGTTATTTTTTATAATGTTAAGAAAGTATACACCTATACTTATAGTATTAAGTTTTTATCAGGAGTGTATATAGAATTTCATAAAATCCCATTTCATTAAGTATTTTATTCCTACTAACATATCATATGTCATGTCACATTAGTAGAGAGATACAGTAATGGTTTTCTTAATACTGAGTTATCCTTGTATATCTAAATCCTCTTTGGTAACTAGACTTTTAATATATAATTGCATTTTGTATATTTATTACTATTTTTTGTGATTTTTACATCTACACTCATAAATTGGTAATTTACTTTTGTGGTATCTTTGTCAGAACAGGACTGTCCTAATTTTATAAAATGTATTACTTTTACAGTAAGAAATTAAGTTATAGCCGAAACCAGTTTGGCTCAGCGGTAGAGCATTGGTCTGCGGACTGAAAGGTCCCAGGTTCAATTCCGGTCCAGGGCATGTACGTTGGTTGTGGGCACATCCCCGGAAGGGGGTGTGCAAGAGGCAACTGGTCGATGTTTCTCTCTCATCGACGTTTCTAGCTCTCTCTCTCTCTCCCTTCCTGTCTGTAAAAAATCAATAAAATATATTAAAAAAAAAAAAAGAAAGTTATAAAAATAAGGCCTAAACATGTATTAATAACTCTCCAAATACCTACTACTTTTGTTTGGCCAACTACTATTTTTTAAACTTTATTTTTCAATTATAATTGACATACAATATTATATTAGTTTCAGGTATCAATACAGTACCCACCATTTTTTATACATTTATTTTTTCTTCAGATTGGAGTTATGATTATAGGATCTTGAAGGTCATTTTTTTCCATCCACCCTACATTTTACAGTATGGATATTATATATTAGTATATATTATAGATATATTCCTGAAAAATTGCTTGTAAGATAAAAATGTATCTTTCAGCCCTAGCCAGTTTAGCTCAGTGGATAGAGCATCGACCTGCGGACTGAAGGGTCTCATCAAGGGTTCAATTCCAGATAAGGGCACATGCCCAGGTTATGGGCTCCATCCCCAGTAGGGGGCGTGCAGGAGGCAGCCAATCAATGATTCACTCACATCATTGATGTTTCTCTCTCTCTCCCTCTCCCTTCCTGTCTGAAATCAATAAAATTATATTTCTAAAAAAAAAAAATTATCTTTCAAATGTCACTATCTCCAAAACTCCCTTTGTAAAATGAGAATATTTTCCAGATATTAATGGCTTTTCTTTCTTCCTGGTATTCTCTTTCCCCAGATGTTTGTATTGTTCAATCCCTTTATTTAACTCTAACTAAAATACCACCTCTTTAGAGAAGCCTTCCCTGACCACCCTAATTAAAATATACTCTACCACCTCTCCATCCATCTCTAGTCCTCATTTATTTTCATAGCCATTCTGAAGTATTTTATCCCTAATGCCTAGAAAATTACTTGACACAGGTAAGTGGTCAATTAATATTTGTTGAAGAGCCAAGACCGGTTTGGCTCAATGGATAGAGCGTCGGCTTGGGGACTGAAGGGTCCCCGGTTCGATTCCGGTCAAGGGCATGTACCTTGGTTGCGGGCATATCCCCAGTGGGGGGGGGTGCAAGAGGCAGCTGATCGATGACTCTCTCTCATCGATGTTTCTAACTCTCTATCTCTCTCCCTTCCTCTCTGTACAAAATCAATAAAAATATATTAAAAAATATATGTATTTGTTGAAGAAAACATTCCCTAAGAACAGTTTACCCCACTCTGGTGTAATACTACTTAATATGCTCGTGACCACCCTGTAAGGCTACCACATAAACCATTAGTCAAAAATACCTTGGTAAAAATTACTACATTTACCAGATTCTCTCTTATAATTAGTTCTCTAAGCCAAGATCACCTGGGATTCCATGTAAAGGAAGAAAAGTATGAGTCTTCCTTATATTCATATGGAAATAAACTATTGTATTCTTTTCCACAGTGACGGTACCCAATCAGCACAAGGTAAATATATTCTGCCTATTATTGTCAGCATCTCTCTTCATACGGTTAAATACCAACAAAGAAACGCTATAATACAAAAAGAAAGCTCTTAAAGCAGCAGCAATAAATGGTTTGGGTGATATGGATGGAAATCCCCCAGATCCCTGATCTCTGGTGAATCAACCCTGAAAGTGATCCTACAGAAAGTAAATCTTCAAGGAAGAAGTAAACATTGATCACAAGAATAAAGTATGTTCTATAGCTGTGACTTCCCTTAATGGACTCTGAACTAGTTTTAGATTCTTTTTTTTTTTTTTTTTTTTTTACAGAGAGGAAGGGAGAGAGATAGAGAGCTAGAAACGTCGATGAGAGAGAAACATCGACCAGCTGCCTCCTACACACCCCACACCAAGGATGTGCCCACAACCAATGTACATGCCCTTGACCGGAATCGAACCTGGGACCTTTCAGTCTGCAGACCGACGACGCTCTACCACTGAGCCAAACCGGCTTTGGCAACTTTTAGATTCTTATACGACAGGAGCATCTGAGTTACCAAGTCCATTGAGAACCAAGGAAAAATAGTAAGCTTCGCTTTATCTCCTTCCCACTGCTATCTTAGAAGATTGACAGACACCAAGCAAGACACCAGGCAAGCAAGAAAAAGACCCCAGATTGCAGAACACACAGCCTGATGCCCTAACTTGTTTCTAAGTCATGTCACTATACCACTATGCTAGTACTGAGTACCAATAACAGCAGTATCTTTCAAAGACTATAGAGAGAAAAAATTTTCTAAACATAGTAGTAAACTCTCCATTTTCCCACCTCATGTCTGACCAAATATTTATCCATTAGTGTCCATTTCACCTCATTATTCTATTTTAATTTAGCTCCTTCCCATTGGTGGGAACAGAAGCCAGGCCTGGAAGTTCTTGTATTTCTGGTACTATATTTTTCTATTCCCATCTCTGATTACTTAATGCCATCAATAACATGAAAATAACCAAAAATGCTAATAAATAATGTAAAAAATTCTACATGTATAAAATTTCAAAACCTAAATTTCTTTACTGATTTACAAATTATCTAAAGTCTTAAATACACACATATAGATGTATATATATATATTAGATTAAAATATAATGGATCCTCACACTGAATTAGATATAACAAAAAAATGACAACACCAAAGATGACAACTAAAGGAGATACAAAATTATAATTTAAGATTAATTTAATTTAGGTATAGTATATACCTATAGACTCTATAATACAAAACAATAAATTTTTAAATCTCTCTCAACTAATACTACAGTATTCTCTCTTTCAATTTTTTTCTCCCACTTCATTCCAACACATGCATGTTCCAACAATTCAGGTGAGTCCAGCAGTACATTCCGTCAACCTTCTATTGCTTAAATTATATAAAGACACATGATGTGTACATGTACAATTTCAATCATACATTTCTATTCTCAAAAACCTGTTTCTCATTAATTTCAAAACTAAGATTACGCATTGAAATCTATGAACAAAACAGTAACATAATACATTGGATGCCTAACCTCTTGATTCTCTATTCCACTGCTGGAAAGCTCCAAAACAGAACCTCCTCCACTGTCAACCACAGCTGATGTCATTGTATATTCCCTGAGGAAGCTTGAAACACTATTAACCAGTGCAATTAAAGGTTCATGGATGATTGCCAGTGTTAAAGGTTTGCATTATCATATCTTAAAAGTCAATAGAAGAATGGAGATGATGTCCAGAAATCCAGTCTTCTAAAGATGATTAACCAGAGAGCCTAAAAAGAGGAAGAATTTTGAAAAGTTATTAAAAATTTATAGGAAAGATATAAAGCACAACCTATTTTGCAATCTAATTTTTAACATTTGTATAAATTAAAAGGAGATATGCTTATACAGCCCTGTGTCAAAAGAGGGCAGTAATGAGCATTCTACTTTTTAGCATTGCTAAGTTCACTGAAATTAAGTTCTTACCAAGCTACTGAACATTCATGACATGATATTTATATTCTAAGAGATAAAATGTTCTAACTTTCTATCTTTATGAAAGTGTTCTCTTATTTCTGAAATGTTTTCATAGATATTTTAAAAATCTTTTATGCATGAAGACATGAAATGTGCTGGATCGAGACAACTTCTAAAATGATTTGCCTATATGACAAAATCAAAAGATTTATTGGTTTGTAAATATTTTACTGTTCTTCTTTGGCTCATTTAGGTTATTTATCTGAATAATTAGAACTGTCTTTTACTATGGCAGCAATCTAATTTGTGGTCACATTTTGAATACTTTACAAGAACTACAAAACAGATTAATTTGAGTAGCTTGTACTTTCTAAGAGAGTAGTTTGAAAATAAACTAGTGAAATCACTTGGAATACCTTAAATATTACTTTATTATTCTTTCCTCAGTAATTTTTTTGCTATTGGTTCAATATGCAATACAGCAAATAGTTTCAAGTAAACATAATTCAGTTTTCCTCAGTAGGAATGAATTTCAGTATGTACACCATCTAGACTTATGCATTAGATTATTCCTAAAAAGTTACACTTTATTTGATTTTGTGAATGTTAAATTTTTCATAGAGAAATTACAGAGATTATAGGATTTTATCATATAAAAATTAAAAAATGCAGCAAAAACTATAAAGAGAAAACAAATTTCTAATAAATCATTCCATTAACATTATATCCTCTATTTAAGTTTACTGGTACCATAGAAATGTGGAAATAATGAACTATTTCCATAAACTCCTACAAGCAAAAGAAATATCTGGGGGAGGGGGAGAGACAAAAATGTCACCTCATTATTTAAGACCATTCAGTACTACTATCTCCTTTTTTATCTTATCAACAGAAACGAATTATTTGTATCTTAATAAAAGAAATAAAAATCCATAGCCCCACACACTGAAGCTCACCATTATCATTTAAAGTAATGACTATTTTCAGTTTCTGTTTTCTAAACATATAGATAATAACAACATAAATAAATTTTACTTACAATTTGAATGTTAGGTAGTCTAAGCATCCTTCACTATTTTCACAACTTGGCAAGAGCTAAAACATAAACCAGCAGTTCTCTGGAACTAATAGTGGGGGGGAGGGAAGGGAGAGACAGTATTAATATAATTCTGTTAAAAATATTTTTCCCAAATTAAGTATAATTCAGACAGTATGTACTTATTACAAACCATCTCCAAAGCCTTATGATACATATAATAATAAATCCTTTCTAGAGTATTGAGAAATGAGGTTTTTACCAAACTTAAAATTGCAAGTCACTACTAAATAACAATTACTAAGTAAGGACAGATTCAACATATACAGTCTATGCCCCATATTAGGGCTTATATTTCAAGTGGCTGCAGGATATAATCTCTGATCCCCAGGTTTTTAAAAACTAACCCAAAAAACTACTATAAAGCAATGTTGATGATATATTATTGCCTATTAAGTCACCTTCCTCCAGCACTCTCACCCTCCAAATGTACATTCCAGACACATCCAAACATCCCAACCCTCCCCTCAAGCCCTCCTCCTTTCAAAAGCTAATCCACTGACCTATTCCCTGGAGCTTAGCCCTTGCTCCATCAATTATTTCCTTTTCTTTCCTAGCCTTATCTGTTTTAATACCGGGTCCTCTCCCTCAATGTCTAAACATTTACAAGACTCTCGTCTTAAACATGGAGCAGACCTCCTCCGTGATCCTGCATTCTCCTCCAGCTTCTGCTCTGATCCCTTTCTTGGATAATGTTCTAGAAGAAAAGTCTTCTATATTCTGTCTCCACTTCTAATTTCTCAGGTACTCCACCTTTTATGGAAGTTTGTCATCAATTACCACCAACTGAAAGTTTTACTAAATTCTGTTTATTCAATCCAAGACACATTTCTGTCTTCACTGTTGCTCATATCCTCCTTGAAACTCTATTCAGAATTTATTTCTCTCTCTCTAGCTTCTCCTTTTCAATTTCTTCTTACAGACTCACCCCTAATTTTCAAGGAAGTTGGAACAAGGCTACAATGGAAATCCATATACTAGATAAAGTAGATATTTTAAAAGTTATAAATCAAGTTAACAAGCTACCAAATTATTATTCTATCTTGCCATCTTGCCATACATACTTTTATAACAATCTAAAAGGCTAAGTTCTGATTTTAACTTTTCAGACTCCCTCAAGTTCTATGGGACATGGGTGAAACATACCCCTCCTCCCCAACACACACACACACACACCTGGCCTGCAGCCTGTCTCTTTATATCTTCCCAACTTTGGCTCCACTCCATAATACAAGAAGCCTCATATACATACATGGAGCATCCCAAGCTCTGGCCACATGCCTGCAAATTGATACCCTTTGGCCATCCTTTAGGCTGTATAGTCAAGAGAGGAGAGGATCAGAAAAGAGGCCGGTGAAGGGCCACATGGGTATGGGTACAAATACTCAGAACTTGACCAGAAAAAGATACAGATGGACTAGTTCAGTTCTTCCCCAAATCCTAATTTCATCAGGAGGGGCATAGCTGGAGGAAGGCCAGATGAGGAACTCCAAAGCACAGGCCCAAACAGGGTCCCCACTTTGCTAAGTTCAAAGACAGTGCTACTCTGGTCAACACTAACATGGAGTTATTTCCAGGATCCCATCCCTAGTCCTCTTCTGGTTCTACACTCTAAGCTACCTCATGTATTGGCATGGCTTCATGACAATCTCTCTTCCAGTCTAAATAAATCATTTCATGGGCTCTAGTTTACTAGATACTTTCTTACCTCTAATTCTTTATGAAATGAAATAGGGTATATAATAAATTATACACATCTGTTCCAGGATATCTGAGGCATACTATTAATTAATCCAGTAAATCAACAAATATTAACCCTTTGCACTCCGAACCATTTTGGACATTGGCTACCAGCTACTCGACGCTAACGGCGGAAACATGCGTTGAATTAACTCAATTCCCCATAATCACTAATAAACTGCAATGTCCCCTGAGAGGGGACATCCGAGTGATATGCTAGAATTCCGATGTCCCGAGAGGGGACAGCGGAGTGCAAAGGGTTAACTGTATCTATCTATCTATCTATCTATCTATCTACCTATCTATATATACATATATAAAAGCCTAAGTGACCGAATAATCGGATGATCAGTGCCTATGACACTCACTGACCACCAGGGGGCAGATGCTCAATGCAGGAGCTGCCCCCTGGTGGTCAGTGCCCTCCCACAGCTGGCCAACCCCCCCACGACCCCTCCCCCTAGCTGGCCAGTCCCTATGGCCCAGATTGAGACTGGGTGAGACAGCTCTGATTGGCCCCGATCAATGGCCAGGCCTAGAGACCCCACACATGCAAGTATTCGTGCACCATGCCTCTACTATATATATAAAAGCCTAAGCAACTATTATGACCAAACGACCAGAACAACCAGTTGCTATGATGCACACTGACTACAGGGGGCAGATGCTCAGTGCAGGAGCTGACCCCTGGTGGTCAGTGAGCTCCCACAGCCAACCTCCCATGGCCAGACTACCTCCCTTGGTCCTTCCCCCCAGCCAGCAAACCTCCCATGATCCCTCCTCCGACCCTCCCCCAGACTGGCAGGCCCCGGCCAGCCCGGCTCCAATCAGGATGGGGCGAAACAGCTCAGATAGGCCCTGATTGCCAGCCAGGCCTAGGGATTCCATCCATGCACGAATTTCATGCACTGGGCTTCTGGTCTATTATATGTTAGCACAGTGTTGGGTGCTAGAGATACAGCAATGAATAAAGCAAAAGTCCCTGTACTTATGAATCTTAAATTCCAGTTGGGAGAGATGAAAATAAAGAAAATAGCCCAATCAGTGTGGCTCAGTGGTTGAGTGTCAACCCATGAACCTGGAGGTCGAAGTTCAATTCCAAGTCAGGGCACAGGTCCCAGTTGCAGGCTCAATCCCCAGTAGGGGGTGTGCAGGAGGCAGAAGATCAATGGTTCTCATCACTGATGCTTCTATTTCTCTCTTCCTCCCCTTTCCTCTCTGAAATTAATTGTGTGTGTAAAATATATATGTATGTACATATATATATATTTAAAATAAATAAAAATATGAATAGCACATATGTAGATGGTGATGAAAGCTAAGGAGACAAATGAACCAAAGGGAGAAAATATTTGCAGGGAAGAGGACTGCAATTTCAAATTGAATGGCCAGAGAAAGATTCACTAAAGAACTGACATATGACTAAAGACCCAAAAGGAGTAAGCTATGACTGGGAAAGAGCCTTCCTTCTTCAAAGGAAAGATGAACTTCAAGATCTGCAACAGGGAGTACACCTGACTAATTCAAGGATCAGCAAGGAGGCCAATATGGCTAGAGTGAAGTGAGCAAGAGAGAGAAAGAACAGAAGATGATGACAGAAAGTAAGGGCCATAAAGGCCTTCTGTAAGGCCTCTTTTACTCCAGGAGAAGGATGGCCTGATTATTATAAGGATCATTCAGATGCTGGTTAAGAACAGACAGAGGGCAAGGGCAGAAGCAGGGAGATCAGTTAAAAAGCTACTATAACTGGGTAAGAAATGAGTGGCTAGAACAAGTGGTAGGGTTTGGAGAGAATAAAAAGTGGTCAGCTTTTAGATATATTTTGAAAGTAAAGTGGAAAAATTTGCTAGCAAATGGGATATGCGTTGTGAGAGAATGAAGAATGAATCCAAAAATACATCACAGCACCATTAAATGGTATGGGGAAACGTGTGGGAGGAGAATATGTCCCAAACTAAACTTTTTTTTTCTTTTCTTGGCTACCTTCACAAAAATATTACCTCTCCTATGGTGCTTAGCTCAGTAAGTTACCCCAACACCAACCCACATTTCCTACAAAACAGAGACCCATGACTCCTTTCTCCGTCAACACCATCATACTCTCACTCTTGACCCCTTCTCTATATTTTCATATCCTCTACCCTAGTTGAGGATATGAAATGTCACTTCTCTATATTGCTGGCAGAGCTTCAGAATTTGTCTCTTAGCCTCTAATCTTGCCCCTTTCCAGTCCATCTACTGCAATTATCAGGGTAGTCTGAGATAGAATGTCAGGCCCCTAGAGTACAGACCACATTCTCATCAAAAAGTTTATATGTACTTAAAGTGCAAAAACAAGGAACACTCAATCTATGATATTAGAAATAGGATGCTACATCACAAAGGACTAATATTACTAATATATAAAGAATGCTTGCCAAAACTGGTTTGGCTCAATGGATAGAGCATCAGCCTGCAGCCTGAAAGGTCCCAGGTTCGATTCTGGTCAAGAGCATGTACCTTGGTTGCGGGCACATCCCCAGTGGGGGGGGGGGGGGGGGGGTGGCGGGGGGGAGTGTGCAGGAAGCAGCTGATCGATGTTACTCTCTCTAACTCTATCCCTCTCCCTTCCTTTCTGTAAAAAAAAAAAAAAAAAAAAAAAAAAATTCAATAAAATGTATATATTTTTTTTTTTAAAAAAGAACGCTTGAAATAGAGGAATAAAGAACCAAAAACCTCAAGGAAAATATACAATTCACAAAAACAGATACAAAAAGGGCCCTTAAACATATAAATAGTTCAAATTCGCTCTTAGAAAATACAAATTTTCAAAAAACAATATATCATTTCTCACATCTATCAGACTGGTGAAAATTAAAATGTATGACACATTAATAATATGACACATTATTCTGTTGGCAAAATTATGTAATTTTATACATTGCTGCTAGGAAGACAAGTTGATACAACACTTTGAAAGTAGAATTTGGCAATGTCTAACGAAATTCCATATGCATTTACCATTTTTAAAACAGCTTTATTGAGATATAATTAACACGTTTACCCACTTAAGGTGTATAATTCAATGGTTTTTATTTACTTTTTATTTTTTAATTGATTTGAAAGGGAGAGAGAGAAACACTAATGTGAGAGAAACATTGATTGGTTGCCTTCCACACATGCCCTGACAAGGTATTAAACCCTCAACCTGGGTACGTGTCCAACTGGGAATCAAACCCACTGCCTTTTAGTGGGCGGGACAATGCTCCAAACCAATCGAGCCATACCGGCCAGGGCTCAATAGTTTTT